ACTTGATTAAAGTAGAGGGTGTCATGCTCAGTGAATGGAGTTAGCAGGAGAGCAAGGAATAACAGATGATGTCACTTCTATATGGAGTATGTAGAAGAAGTGAGAGAGTTGCAGTGACCAGTGAGATCAGACTCTGAAACTGTCTCTGGACCAGAAGTGACAAAGGCAGGGACAGGCACGAAAAGGGATATTAACTAGTGATGGGTGTGGTGCATTATCTTTGTAAATCTAGAACATGGCTGTGAATTGTTGTAAATCATGATTGTTTCGTTAAAAATAGTAAAAATATCTAGAAAACAAAGAGCATAATATACGTCAGAAAAATGAAATTAGAAACTTAATAGAAATCAAAATCGAAAAAAAAAGCTATAGAGAAAGTTAACGAACTCAAACCATTGTTTGAAATACCAGCATGGTTGCTGAAGCTCTTAACAAGAATAAAAAAAGGATTAAAAGATATGAGACAAGTTATCAGTCTACAGAATTGAAATGGAAGATCTCACTATTAACCTCTCTCCTGAAGAAGGTCATAAGAAACTTCTATAAATTTAAAAATCTGAGTGAAATGAACCTTATCCTTGAAAATGAAAAGCTATTAAAACATAGCCCAAATAAAAGAGGTAACTGAAGAGTCCTAAACTTTTTAACAGAAAATAAAATCTTATTTACTGTGGCCACACCCATCAGTACTCAGGGCTTACTCCTGGCTATGTTCAGGAATCACTCCTGTGGGCTCAGGGGACCATTTGTGGTGGTGTAAATTGAACTGAGTCATCTACGTGTAAGACAAGTACATTACCTGCTGTACCATCTCTCCAGTCCCAGAAAAATAAGATTTATTTTAGGTGAACTAAATACAGAAGGAAATGAAAAACTAGACTAGAAGTAACAAAAGGACATTGGTGACGTGTCTTTAGTACTATATCAAATCCATTAACATGAACACTACTGTAAACATATGACTGTAACAAATACATTTTTACAGAAAAACTAAATATAAATTTTGGAGTGAAAATATGTACTATTTGAAATTTAAGCTTTTTAAAATTTAACATAATGCAGATAACAAGGAGCTGAAGTGATAACTGCCTTGCACGCGGTCGACAGAACCTACCCGGGTTCGATTCTTCCATTCCTCTCGGAGAGCCCAGCAAGTTATCAAGAGTATCTTGCCTGCATGGCAAAGCCTGGCAAGCTACCCATGATGTATTTGATATGCCAAACACAGTAACAACAAGTCTCACAATGGAGACATTACTGGGCCCGCTCGAGCAAATCGATGAACAACAGGAGGACAGTGACAGTGACAGTGACAGCAGATAACAAGGAAAGAATCAGCGTGAAGGAATCCTCATTATTTTCCCTTTTCCCCACTCTTGAAAAAATTAAAAAATAGGGGAGCAATGGCAGGTGGGCCAATGGTGGAGCATTTGCCTTGTATGCATAAGGCCCTGGGTTCCATTCCAGGATCCCACCTCCCCCCAACACACACACACACACACACACACACACACACACACACACACACACTCATATGCCCACGTGCACAAAGGGAAACAGACTGAGGCATCACTCAATAGGGTAAGTGTGTGCTTTGCATGCAGGAGGCTTTTGATTGGGTCTCTGGTACCACGTGATTCCCTGAGTCCAGAGCCAAGAGTGACCCCCAGGCAGCCCTGGCTGCGCCCTGCGTACCACCACCACCCTACAAATGAAAAAAAGATAGAAAATTATTGATGAACACAGCACAAGAGTGGTTGCAAAGGAGAATTGATGGGTAAATGGGGTAAATGGGCAGATTGATTGGTCAGAGATACATAGTTTATATGATGCATATGCCCTGAAGGTAGAATGGACAGAACTGGAACTGTCATTAATATGGTAGTTTTAGGAAGCAGATCTTAGATGCTGAATATCTTAATTTATTTGCTTGTAGTCACACAGTCAAATCATTGCATTGTATGTTTTAAATCATACAGATTTGTCAGTTATATCCCAATGAAGCTGGAAGAATGCAAAGTCAGTGTTTTGGCTTCCAAGAAGAGCAGTGGGTTAGAGAGGCTGATGGTTAAATCAGCATGCAGATTTGTCCTTTTGGGACCTTGTAATTTGGAGCTGTGTTGTGTTGGGCAAGTTCTGGAACCTTCTGTGGCCTCCCTTTTTCTTGGCAGCTTCACCACCCAGAGTGGTGATGAGATACGGAAGGTCCTCTGTATCTATCTCACTGGACCCACGCTCTGAAGGGAAGTGTCAGTGCACAGTGACCCGGGAGGGAACCGTCAGATGGCTCCTCTGAGGCAGAAGATCTGGAGCCCTTTATGGGCGCAGTAGCGGCTGAGAGTGGGGACCATGAAAACTTGGATCCTCCAGCAGGTGTCTGCATGTGGGTGCTTTGGTCTTTAGCTGTTTTCTTTTCTGTTAGTGTCATGTTATAGTAGCTGGGATACCATCTGTCGATGAGCCTGGCTTATTTAAGAGAGTGAACACACATATTACTTTGAGATGAGTAGTCAGGCTGTTTCCAGAATGTGTTTGACTACACTGACCTGTGTGGAAGAGCAGGCTAGGGAGCTTCCTGGTGGAGGAGGTGACTCCTGTCTTAAATCTTAAAGGAAAAAGGCAGCCTGACACAGAAGTGTGGGTAGAACTTTCAAGGGTCAGACAGAGCATGACTGAAGTGGGTTCAGATTCAGGGATTTGGAGCTGCTGGCCCAGGCCATGAAGGATGTCAGGTCCATGACAAAGAGTCCAGACTTCCTGCTGCATGTGTTAGGATTGGGATCCGTGTCTGGACACTGTTTGCCAACTGTAGCGTTGATGTTGTGTCAGAAGCATGCAGCAGAGTGAAATCAGGGCCTGAGTTGTAGGCAGTGAAAGCCCAGCCACAGGGACTATGACTTGACCCACTCACCTTCACAGTTTCTTCTTCTTGGGGTTTTTACAAGGATCAAATGCAGAACACACATTTGACCAGGATCTTGCCACAGTGGCCAGGTGGCTTATGTGAATTCGTAGTTAATCATAATATGTCTAATGAACCAGCTTACCCAGACTGTCTGTCAGTTCCAGACCACGGCTGGCCTTCTACTGTGCATTACTCACAGAGTACTTTCATGGACCGGAGTACTTTTTAGGATGAGTTGACTATGATAGTAATTATCTGTGTTGTATAATAAATGATTCCTCAAATTAGAGGCTCAACAAGAACAATAGCTTCTATTATTTCTCATGGTTGTTGTGTTGGGAATTGAGGTGTTAAGGGACACTGGGCACTTCTGTCTCAGAACTGAAGGCTTGTCTGTGAAGTGGCAGCTTTATGTGGCTGCAAGTTGGTGCTGGCTGGTGGCAGTCTCTTCCCCTAGCTCCTCAGAGGGGATCCGAGACATCAGGGCAGAAATCCACACCTTGCCCTCGCCACTCTGTGTTGTCAAACTGAGCCGCTCTGAGCAGCTCTGTGGGCAAAAGTGCCAGGAGGATTAATGATGACGTACTTCACTTTGCAGTCTGGCTTGCCCAATTAAGAGGGTTCAGTGTAATGCTCCTTTACCCGAAGGGCGTTTCTCCCCTGCCCTCTCCTATCGCAGTCCTTCTGGCTGGCCTCTGGCCCAGACTGTTTTTCTGTGTGTTCTTAAATTGGCATACAAAACCTTTATATTTTTTTCTTTTTCAGTTTTTGGGCCACATCTGGCAGTCCACAGGACTTACTCCTGGCTCTGTGATCCAGGGGCTCTACTGATAGTGCTTAGAGGGATCATATGGGTGCTGGAGATAGAACCTGGGTGGGCTGTTTGCCAGGCAAGTGCTCCTTGCTGTCTTGCTGTCTTGTCGCTGACTCAAGAAGCCTTTGTTTTGCCTTCTATTTTTATTCCAAAGGCAGGCCCCTCTTGCTCACCAACCCACAGGCTGTCTTTAGAGTACATATTTGTCTTTGCGAGGAACCTCACAAACCTCAGAGGCATAGAGAGAAAACTCAGAAAACAAATCTTGAAAAAGATAGCAGTACTAGCTGTTCTCTTTTTGAGTTGCAGTGACTCTGCCTGCTACTTGCCAGTCTGTAGCCACAGATGAGCCACAGGCTGGTTGTCCATCCAAGGGCGTCCTCTTGGCACTGCACTAACCCCCAGGAGAGACAGGAGACTGGGAGCCGTTTTGGCATGTGTACCAGGGAAGCCCAGCTGGGGACAGACCCAGGCCGCCTTCATGCCACTTGTCCCCAAGCCCAAGCTTTTCCCCTCATGACACAGCTGACCCCTAGGTTCATCTTGGGAAAGCATATCGGATGCCCTGTTGAAGACTCAGGGGAGCCCACCATGGGGGTTTGGTGCCTTTGCTTCATTTTCCAACATCTTCCTGCATTGCCTCCTGTCACCATTGTGGGAAGAAGCACAGCTGCAGCCTCGGGTGTGACAGTCCTGTGAAATCGCATTGGTTCTGGCACTCAGTAGGCATTGTCAGGGCAGGGACCTGCACATGCTTCTTGCAGTTACACAGTGCGCCCAGTTGGAAGATCCCCCATAGGAATTTAGACGTAGATTTATCTTGACAGCCATTCAGATTGTCCGGAAACGGAAGAAGGACAACACACAATTTAGAGACATCGATTCTGATTCTCATGGGGACATTGTCTAGCTTCTTTTCTTTCAGGAAAAACTATAATTTCAGGCACATGCTGATGCTTTTTGCTGTTCAAGACCATCACATTTATGGTTTAGTCAGTTGGCTGTATGTACCCTGGAGAAATTGATCTTTGTGAGTCTGCTTTCTGGAACAACCCCCTGCCCCATCAGTGGGATAGGTGTGGAATGGGGGTAGCTGGATTCCTGTCACCGTGTCCATGCTACAGTCTGTCATAACTTAGCATTGTGTTATAAATAAATAACCCCCGACCCCTGCCCAAGTCCGGACTTATGCAGGGATTGAGAGAGTTTGATGACGCAGAAACTCTTGTTGTGGAGACAGGCCAACTTTCACATTCTCTCTTGTTTTCTCCTCTTTTCCAGCCTGCAAGTATTCCTGCCACAAGAAATGTGAAGCTAAGGTAAGGGTCAAGTTACTTTCCCATGGGGCTTTTTATAGTTGAATTGGTCTTTGATGAGTGATACACACAGAAGAGGGACAGTCTAGCCACAACCCCAGAAATGAAACTTCTTGAGAAATGGCTACTAAGTTCTTTCCCTTAGGACGTATATGTTTCATCTAGGGAATGAGTGGAGGGGCTTAAAAATCCATGTTTTTCATTACAGAAAATAACTCTTAAGAATTTGGTTTCAGATGAGAAAGAACAATTTCGTTTGGCCGCGTCTCTGTGTTCTTTCTGTGAGAGATGACCCTTTGTTTCCAATTACTCGACAGGCTGCTTCTTGGGTGCCTTCGGGAGTGAGGGGTCGAAATAGAGGTTCAGGCCATGAATCTGGCCCTGAGACTCTAGTTTCTTTCAGAAGGTGTTTGTGGATTGGTTGGATTTCAGCCTGTGGTAAGCATCTGGGGACCCAGACTCAGGGTTTGGTTTTTCTGCTTGCAAATTCTCCTGCGAAGTTCTCTTCCCTTTGGAAGCAGTGGGGCCTGCTGGGCGTGGCTGCACATAGGTTTCTGCTGAGGAGGCCTGCAAACACCCTGCACGTGTTAAGTGGGGAGGAAGTGCAGGCTTACCGGGGTTGAGCCCTGGGTCTGCGTCTCTCACACTTTCTAACTTGTTTTTTCTTTTTGGGTCACACCTGACGATGCACAGGGGTTGCTCATGCAGTCAGGAATTACTTCTGGAAGTGCTCGGGAACTATATGGGATGCTGGGAATTGAACCTGGGTCAGCCATGTGCAAGGCAAATGCCCTACCCACTGTACTATCGCTCCAGCCCCATCTCCCACACTTTCTATGCATGAAGTCTCCTTCAATGCCCAGTGGAGCCAGAGTGCACCATCCTGAGTGCTAGCTGGGAGCCTGTCAGTGGTCCTGAGTGATTTCTTCATGACTGGAGCTTCAGGAAGATGGAGTTTTAGAGCAGTGGTTCTTAAATCACTGGCCTGGGCACTGAGTGTGAACTTGTCATCCTTAGAATTGTGTGGAGGTGAGTCTCCTGGGTTTGATGTGTGGAAAGTTCCCAGCAGGTTCTCTGGGTATCAGATAAAGGGAGCTGGGCAGACAGACCCCTGTGGCTGTGAGCTGGCTTCATGTGGCACATTCTGGACCTGGGAGCTGGGGTCTGCTTTCTCCACCATCCCACCACCCCGGGAGACACATGCAGACATGCATGCAGACGTACGCACATTCATGCAGATGCATGCACTTCACATACATTCATACTTGTGCATGTGCATAAGTCACAGTTGGAGACATACATACTCACGTGTGCATACAGCCATTCACACATGCATTCACGGGAAAACTGCAGGCTCTCCAGGCCTGATTCTGTTTTCTTTTAATAGTAAAGATAGAATGAATTCAGAATTTTATTATGAAGAACATGGAACATGCAGACGTCATGTCTGGCATGGAGTTACTAGTGTTACCCTGCAGCCAGCCTCCAGGCCTTCTCCCAACCCTTTCTGTCGCATTTGTGTTTGGTCCTTGCTTATTGATGTTGCATGGGAGATGGTGTGGTTCTGTAGTCGTTGGTTGGCTGATGGATTTCTCTAGTTAACCAGAGTGTGTGAGTGGATGATCTTGCCTGGACGGGAATTGACCCAAGCCTCCCACATGCAGTGTGAGTGCTCACACCTTTGAGGTATCTCCTGGCTCCCATTTCCTTAGTGACATCACAGTCTTCTTGCTCTCCTGCACTCTCGGATATGGCTTATTTCTAGACCATTCTTTAGTTCTGTCTTGTCCTCAGACACACTCTGCTCTCAGGTATGCTGTGTACTTTTAGTCTAAGTGATTTTGTTGGGGGCTGGAGCGATAGCACAGCGGTAGGGCGTTTGCCTTATAAGCGGCCAACATGGCCGACCCGAGTTCGATTCCTCCGTCCCTCTTGGAGAGCTTGGCAAGCTACCGAGAGTATCTCGCCCGCACGGCAGAGCCTGGCAAGCTACTTGTGACGTATTCAATATGCCAAACACAGTAACAACAAGTCTCACGTTGGAGACGTTACTGGGCCCGCTCGAGCAATCGATGAACAACGGGAGGAGCGTGATCACCGTGATTTTGTTGGAGTAAGAGCCCTTTGTAGTTCCCACATCTGAGGGAATGTTTCAGGTTACAGTAGTTTTTCATACTCTCTGAGCTTTTAGAAATGTCCCTCCAGTCCTGAGCATGGCCTTCCCATGCACACAAGGTGCTTAGACACATGAACAATGTGGCATTTTCTGCATAGCTGGTGTCTCATCCCCACAGTGGGCAGAAAAAGGAGAAGCATCTCAGTATCTGGATGTCATGTGCCATTTCTGCACATATGCGTGTGTATGCACACACACCTATATGCAGAGTGTGTGCATGTAGATAAAATGTGTACATGTGAGTGTATGTGAGTATGCATGTATATATGCACCTTGTACACATCAGTTGTGCATTTGTGCAAGCACCTTGAGTGCGTGAATGTGTGTAAGCACTTTGTGTGTGAGTGTGCCTGCGTCTAAGCCTGTGTTTACATGAGTGTGCATGTGTGCATCTTGTGTATGTGGGTGTGCATTGTATGCTCCTTGTGTATAAGAGTGTACATGTATGTGCACCTTGTATATATGAGTGTGTGCACCTTGTGTACATGTGTATGCATGTGTGTGCACTTTGTGTACACGAGTGTGCATGTATGTACCTTGTGTGCGTAAATGTGCTTGTGTGTGCACCCTGTGTACATGAGTGTGTGCACCTGTGTACTTGAGTGTACATGTGTGCACCTTATGTACATTGGTGTGTGTGCACCTTGTGTACATGAGTGTGCGTGTGTGAACCTTGTTTCTCTGAGTGTGTGTGTGTCTGCATGAGTGTCTGTGTGTAAGCACCTCGTGTGTACATGTGTGCCTGTGTGTGCACCTGCGTCTATGAATGTGTGTGTGTATTTGCACCTTATGTATGTGACAGAGCCTCTTGCTGTGACTGTATGGCTGGCTCAGTTATTTCTGACCTCATGCTTTTAAAAAGTTACTAGTTTGTCAAGGGGTCCCAGCCCCAGTTACTCATGGCGTTGAATTTCTTGGTTTAGAGGTTATTCCCAGAGACTTTACTTTTACTGACTCTGACATTTGTCTTTAATAACTGGTGATTTGCTGGTAGCTAGAAGAAGTTTTATTTTCATTAGACACTGGCAGGAGGGCACTGGTTGCAGCCCTATGGCTCAGTGGCAGGAAGGCCAGGAGCAAGGATGACCATGCCCCTTTTTACTCTGAAGCAACAGTGGCAGTCCCCTTGCCCCCCAAGATGAGCTGAGATGTGGCTCTCAGGTGCTAGGGTCTTTGGTTACCACAGCGTAGGGGTCCTAAATGCAGGTTTGACTGGTTTTCCTGGAACTAGGAAGTGTGAGTATTGCAGACAAATCTAATGTTCTTGCTGGATAGGTGGCCTGACCTGCTGATGGGGTGAACCATGTTCAGCAGGTGCCCTCTGAGTGGGACCCACAGACCTCGTGGACAGACAGTTGAGGAGTGTTTGCAAGGCCTTAGGACTCTGCGAGAAATGTTGCAGCTAGTGGTGGACTCACGATCATCACAGTGGCTCTGTCAGAGGCTCCTCGCCGGGCCTCAGGTACCTCTTGGATAGACCAGAAGCTGTGGCGAAACTGTCTGCAGAATGGGGGCTGAACCTTCGTGGAGAAGGTGGACAGTGAAAGGGAGACGTCAGCCTGGCCCTGATGCCCCAGGGTCATGCTCCCTGGGTTTGGAGCAGCATGAGGCTCTGCAGGTGAGGTCAGGTAGAGCACAGACGTGCCTGGGATCCCAGTGCAGTCTGCTGAAGCGAGGTCAGTCCCCAGAGCCTCCGTTTCTTTATGTGGACAGTGGGTGAATATTCCCATGACCGTGACACTCCTTTGCTGTTAATTTGATAATATTATCTAGGTCTTAGGAAAGCCAAATAATGTATAATTACTGAACGTTTGGGATTCCAGATTGTGGGACTGTGTATGCTCAGGGAGACGCAATGTCTGGGTGCTGTGATTTGGATTATTCCCGACTGCTGGTTGACTCACTGGTAGGGGGAAAAAGGAAGTTTCAGAAATAAAGCTGATTCAGAAGCAGACAATGGTGAGCTGCGCACGGTGGGGGAGGGAGATAGGCCCCCCTCTGTTCCCAGAAGCATGCAGTCCCTGTCACTCCTGGTGACAGAAACTCCAGCTTTGCTACTGACGCCCCAGTCATGGCCCTTCCATACCTGCCCTCCCTGGGTAACAGCTCAGGCGTCCTGACCACTGTGTGCCCACCCCACCGCAGGACCCAGGGCTGTCTGGGTGAGCATTCTGGGGAGCCATGCGGACCAGGCTGTGGGGCTGCTCTGGCCTCAGTTCGTTGGACCCTGCTCTCAGAACTCAAGTGAGGCTTGTGATTTGTCCAGAGCCGCAGTAGCTTCACGGGCCAGTCTCCCTGCCGTGTCTTGTGTGGACACAGCTCTAGATCTTAACTCTGCCATGAAGTTCAGAGTCCAGAGCTGAACTTCCTTGGTGCTGGGGGCAGATGCAGCTGCCCGGCTTCTGCAGGTCGCCCTGTTGACTTAATCATTAACTGAAGTCTGGCCATGGGCGTTCATCTCCAGACTGTTTCTTTCTCCAACTCCAAGCCATAACTTGCTGTTGGAGGCTGCTGTGCCCCGGCTGTTTTCAGTGGGTGAGAAATGAATGTCTCTTGTCACAGAGCTCCCACGTGCCACCGGTCGAGGGTTGCTCCGTGCCGCGGTCAAGTTTTTGCTGTTCTCAGTGTTCTTTGTGTGGGTTCTTATTTCCTGGGGTCCCTGGTTGTGCCACCTTGGTGCCACTGTCCATGGACCCTCCGGTGACCTCTAGCCCTGATAGTGCATCTGGTACAAGGACATGAAGAGGGTGCCCTCACAAAAACGTCTGCTTCTAGGGCCCCCACCCTGCTCCATGTCTCCCCACAAGTTCACTGTCCACCAGTCCCC